CATCACTCACTCAATGGCGGCGGTGACAGCGGCTCCTTCCTGGCCCAACTGAAGTGCACCTGGCATATAAGACGACCCCCCGCCACTTAGAGGCATGTTTTTGGGGCCAAAAAAGTCATCTTATACGCCAGCAATACATTTAGGCTTGAAAGACCAAGACAAAGTGTAGGTGTGTACAGAAACGAGCGCAATTTGTGATACTGTACAACATCATTCCTGACAATATGGTATGGCTCTTAAAGTCACCACCCATAACTTCCAGTCTCCTGGCTCTGTGGTAGGCTGTTTATATACTCATATATATTTCCCTAAGCCAACAAAAACCAACCTCATTCTGAAAACATGGGACGTAATGAAAATGGTACAACTGGGAGCCTCATGGTGTAGCAGTGGTTAAGCTGCAGGACTGCAGTCAAGACTCTGTTTATAATCTGAGTTTGATCCCAATCGGCTCAGATAGTCAGCTCAAGGTTGACTCAGTCTTCCATCCATCTGAGGTTGGTAAATTGAGTACCCAGCTCACTGGGGTGTAGCGGGGGGAAGGAATTTATAGCATGAATAATTCAATTGAATAGTGCCCAGAGGGGGCTTTGAGCGCTATATAAACAGCACACCCTGCTTTACAGAATAAAATGCCAGAATGCTGTTGTGTTCATCTGCAAGGGTGGCCTTTGAAATGTATATCATGTAGAATCACAGAAAAGGAACATGGTGCTCTGCCTGCATGCAACAGGAAATTGGTCATCATATTTAAAAAATTAGATTACAAACCCAAAATAATTGGAAGCCCACTGTATACTTTAGTAATCAAAAATATCATGTCGATAGTGGTAAATATAAGATTTACTGAAGAAATGTAAGATATTAGATGTATAGTAAAATAAGACTAAATGTATTTTTCAATAAGAATTATATAGCATTTGAGTTTTTAAAACATTGGTACACAGTTGCATATATAGAAGTACTGGTCACTTTACTGTCTGGAATAATTAATAAACTTATACAATGGTGGCAGACATAAAATATATCGAAGTATATTTGCATTTTGTATCTAAGAAAAACTAATTTCAAACCCATTAAATAGAGGAGACATTTGCAAATTAATACCCACTAGAGGGCATCAGTGATACATAGCTGAGCAAATTTTGAAGTTGTTTTCTAATTCAGAATCTTAAAGATACTTGCAATTTTCCCCAGATATGAATCAAGACTGAGAAATGGTAGGCTTTTAGACACCAGAACTTTTCAAAGTAATAAAAAAGAAATTGGGTAGGTGGTGCAGAAACGAATAAATTGAATTATTGGAGGGCAAAATCCTTCCTTTCTGAAGGATACATGAGTATAGGCATTTTTAGCTTAAAAGAGAAGTCAATAAGAGAAATGAAATAGAATGTTATAAAAATTATGAATGGTGAGGTTAGATAACAGACGTTGGGCTCAGTCCTTGAGGTTGGTAGTATAATACTTTTTAGTTCTATGGGGCTATTTGTTTACTTAGATATCAACTGATGAATCTTGCAAACACAATTTCACAAACTGAGCCTCTTCATATTGACAGTTATATAACAGACAACATGAGCAATTACAAAAAAAAAAAAAAAAAAAAGCTACAATTTGTGCACCCAAGTCCTTGGCAACATCACTAATACCGAAGTTGCTTGTATAATGGCAAAGTTCAAGTGTCCTTTAGAATTCAAATTCAGACAGAAATCTAAAATATCTTCCTCAGCTGGTTTGAATAACCATAACACAGAAGAATCGGGTCCACATACAGAATTTTCAAAACCAAGTTGGCAAGGGCCTCAGCAGTCTAAGTGGCAACAGCAGCTCCAGTATTCGCGAAGGCTTTCACGGTTGGGATCTAATTGTTGTTGTGGGTTTTTCGGGCTCTTTGGCCGTGTCCTGAAGGTTGTTCTTCCTAACGTTTCGACAGTCTCTGTGGCCGGCAGAGTGCTGTCTTCAGAGTGCTGTCCTGGAAGGCTTTCTCTACTCTAAAGGCTTCAGAGATCAGACTTTTTACCCACTCTTGACCTCCAGGACTTAAATGGCATTGGGATTAAGTGGACCTCTTCAGCTCTCAGAATGGCACTGGCTCTTTTTTTAAAAAAAAATAACTTTGGGGTGGTCAGACTTCCAGTCCTCCCAGTTCTGCTTTGGTTTGTTGTTGTTGTTTAGTCGTTTAGTCGTGTCCGACTCTTCGTGACCCCATGGACCAGAGCACGCCAGGCCCTCCTGTCTTCCACTGCCTCCCGGAGGTCTGTCTGGGATTAAGTGGACCTCTTCAGCTCTCAGAATGGCACTGGCTCTTTTTTAAAAAAAATAATTTTGGGGTGGTCAGACTACCAGTCCTCCCAATTCTGCTTTGGGCTTCCTAATTAAACATTAAGAAATATAACTCTATCTCTGTTCATTCCTTCTTTTGCTCCAGTCATGGATGATCGCAGCATAGTGGGGTTCTGAAGGCTGAGATGATGAAGAATAACATTAATCTGTGGCCAAGGATTGCCATTAGTAATCTTTAGAAGGGCAGATTTCAAAGATAATTTGTTTTGTATCATTTGAATGAGATCAGTCAACATTCTCAGGGGAAAAAGCCATTTGGAACAATACTTTATATTAACCCCCAAAATGAAGTAGAGATAGATCCGTGCTGGTTTGTACATGTGGCACCACAGGTGCTGCACATTCCCTTCTCCTGCTTCTCCAGGGGGATCCCCCCACTCATCAGATGGTGCACACTCCTCTCCTCCTCTTCTATAGCTATTCAACCAGCCTCTGGAAAGAGCCCGGGCTTCCCTGCCCCACTTTCTTGGCTGATCACCCACTCAGACAAGGAGGAAGGACACAGTGGTTGAACAACTGAAGAAGAGGAAGAAAAGAGCATGCACTGGCTGGTGAGTGGGAGATCCAGCCAGGGAGGTGGGCAAAGTGAATGTGTGGTATCTTTGGTGCTGTATATACGAACCAGCACGAAGCTCCGAACCAAGATTCGTGCCCATCTCTATAACGATGAACTAGTTTGACATGAAAGAATTCCTGTAACTGAAGGAGCAATTAAATGGGCATTTGTCCCACTATTTGTGCCATGTTCCTCACTGTTCCTTTCAGAGTTTAGAATGTAAAGAGATATAGTCCTGAATAATAGTTCGGTCTCAGTTGTTTTGTCATAGAAAGTAGAAGGTTCTGTCTACAACAGTGGTTCCCAACCTTGGGGTCGCAACATATATATATGTTGTCACACTTTTTAATTAATTTCTTTCTTGACCTTTCAGAGCAGGATGTTATCTACTTTCTGAGAAGGGATACCTTTATCCCATTAAAAATGCCATTTTATGCAAATATGACAGAGGGTTTGAAGGTTATTTGGCTATTATTTATTTATATATATATATAAATAAACAAGAGACCTTTGGGTAGTGTGGGCAGCATATAAGTTAAATAAATAAATAAATAAATAAATAAATAAATAAATATTATAAAAGGGGATCACAACTTGAAAAAAGGTTGGGAACCACTGGTCTAGAATGATAGGTTTATACGTGATCTCTGAAAGGGATTTAAATGTCTTCACATTCTTCCAGTGACTCCTGGGTACCATAAATTGCTTACCAAACTGTTCTGTCTCACCCAGGACTACCAGAAGAATGACAACGACCAGGCAGTAGTGGAGATCTGTATCACTCGAATCACTACAGCCATCAGAGAGACAGAATCAATAGAGAAACATGGGAAAGCTCTTGTTGCTCTTTGGGAGTCATGCCTAGAGTACAATCTGATCAGATGGTGCACACTCCTCTCCTCCTCTTCTATAGCTATTCAACCAGCCTCTGGAAAGAGCCCGGGCTTCCCTGCCCCACTTTCTTGGCTGATCACCCACTCAGACAAGGAGGAAGGACACAGTGGTTGAACAACTGAAGAAGAGGAAGAAAAGAGCATGCACTGGCTGGTGAGTGGGAGATCCAGCCAGGGAGGTGGGCAAAGTGAATGTGTGGTATCTTTGGTGCTCTATATATGAACCAGCACGAAGCTCCGAACCAAGATTCGTGCCCATCTCTATAACGATGAACTAGTTTGACATGAAAGAATTCCTGTAACTGAAGGAGCAATTAAATGGGCATTTGTCCCACTATTTGTGCCATGTTCCTCACTGTTCCTTTCAGAGTTTAGAATGTAAAGAGAAATAGTCCTGAATAATAGTTCGGTCTCAATTATTTTGTCATAGAAAGTAGAAGGTTCTGTCTGCAACAGTGGTTCCCAACCTTGGGGTTGCAACCCCCAAGGGAGTCACCTTATATATATTTGAAGGCTATTTGGCTATTATTTATTTATTTATATAAATAAACGAGAGACCTTTGGGTAGTGTGGGCGGCATATAAGTTAAATAAATAAATAAATATTATAAAAGGGGATCACAACTTGAAAAAAGGTTGGGAACCACTGGTCTAGAATGATAGGTTTATACGTGATCTCTGAAAGGGATTTAAATGTCTTCACATTCTTCCAGTGACTCCTGGGTACCATAAATTGCTTACCAAACTGTTCTGTCTCACCCAGGACTACCAGAAGAATGACAACGACCAGGCAGTAGTGGAGATCTGTATCACTCGAATCACTACGGCCATCAGAGAGACAGAATCGATAGAGAAACATGGGAAAGCTCTTGTTGCTCTTTGGGAGTCATGCCTAGAGTACAATCTGAAACCTTCAGGAAAAGATGAGGACACACCACATGCCAAGATTGCATCTGATATTATGAGCTGTATTTTGCAGGTATGAATGCATTGCGAGGAATAAAGTAGTAAAGCAAAAAATGGAGGTGTGCAGATGTGTGTGTTTGGGGCAACAGCTCTCCCCAGGCAGGCACATGCTTCTAGCCAAGAATAATCACTTCAGAATCCCCTTGGGGTGATTTGGAGACAATTCATAATGCTCACCTTCCTCGGAGAAATTTCTCTCAACTAAAAAAATGTGAGGGATGTGTTTCTATATGTGATCATTATAGGTATGCATATTTATGTCTTTGGACTAAAGCTCCCACAATTCCGCAGACAACATAGCCACTTTGGAGGGTGGATAGAGTGATAGACTAGGACTGGGGAGATTTGGGTTCAAATCACAATTTAGCAATGCAAACCCACAGAGGGAGGGCATAAATTATTTAATTTGAAAACCCCATTAGGGTCACCATAACTGGGATGTGCACAAACAAAATCAGTTCAAAAAACACAAATATGCACATCTCTAGTGATCACCATGCTCCTCACGTTGGCTGTGCCTTGCTATTTTTAGTTGTCTCAATTCTTTTTCTGCATTTTTGTAATCCTGGACACTAATCTGTGCAGAATCAATGCAAGAGAAAGGTTGCAGTCCATCCGTATCTGGAGAATCACATTGTCTCCATCTTTGTACTTGTCTCCCTGCACAATCACTAGTACATTTTATGGTATGCTTTGATGTTATTATGTTGTACATTTCCCCACCCCTGTTATCAAAGACTCTTATTACCTCATAAATATTTTCATGTCGAACTATGGAGATAGTTTTACTGTAGGTTTTGCAAGACATTGGTATACTGAACATGCAGATGTTGTTACAACCTCTGATTAAATCAATGTAGATGGTACAATATGAGGTCAAATCCATACCACGTGGGGTACTTATTTTCATAGCAACTAAATTACATACTATCACCAAAATGTAGCATACAGTTTGAGAGCCCTGTCTTGTTTACCCTTGGGTCCTTATCCAGACTGTAACCAACACATGCAAGTGGGAAAAGTTTCAAATTTAATAACCATCTTATTTATTTATTTATTTATTGGACTTATATACCGCCCCTGGGACCTTAACTGTAATCAACACATGCAAGTGGGAAAAGTTTAAAATTTAATAACCATCTTGTTTTATTTCAAAATTCACCATCACTGCATGGAGCATTAAAAACAACAACATTTTGGCCTTGACATAGGTGGAAGTGGATTCTGAAATGAACAGGAAGTGTTAAAGATTTGTGTCTTCCTCATCCATGTTAGTCCTGATCTGTACTAGGACAGCACATACTCATTACAAGATTAAAAAAAGAAGAAGAAGGCATCTTAATATGTTATTTCAAAATTCACTATCACTGCATGGAGCATTAAAAACAACAACATTTTGGCCTTGACATAGGTGGAAGTGGATTCTGAAATGAACAGGAAGTGTTAAAGATTTGTGTCTTCCTCATCCATGTTAGTCCTGATCTGTACTAGGACAGCACATACTCATTACAAGATTAAAAAAAGAAGAAGAAGGCATCTTAATATGTACCCTGCATGTACTTTAGCCTTCACATTATGTCTTGAAGAGCTAGAAAGGTATGAAGCAATGAGAGGGCCAATGACCAAACAAAATGCATTGCACAACAGGTGTGGATATGGGCCTGGGGATGAAAAATGTATCAGGAAACCGTTCCTTTTCATCAACAAGGAATGAGACTAACCAGAAAAGTTAGAAGAGAGAGAGTGTGTATTCATCAGGGTAATGATTAGCATTCAGTCCTGCCCCACTGTAATTTATTTGTTGTTTGTCCAATGCTGCGAGCCAGTCCTTGTGGTATGTTGTTATTTTGAAATCCTGCCATGCCTCACAGGACATTTTCAACAGTACTGAAGTGCTCCTTGCTAACCTTCATTGCCATTCAGAAGTCACCCTAACGTGTAGGACCTCAGGGCTTGTGTTGCTCAAAAAATCATATCGATCTGCTTTGACCCTTGGCTGTTTTCATCCAGAAAGTAACACAAGTATATTAGAGAAGGAAAGGACCTCTAAACCTGTTTTCACATCAGTGAAGTGGCAAATTAAAACTTTGTATGCAGTCAGTTCTGTTTGTTTCAGCTTCTAACTTCTAGGATGAGGTCCAAATAAGCCTTTTAACCAGTGGTTTTTTTAAAAAAATCCTGGATCCTAAATGGGTGTTCAGTTCCAAAAATATAATTCTTTAATAAAGAGAACAAACCCCCATTGTCTTATTTCACTTGTTATTGTAGCTCTGTCAAGGCACTGTTGGCTAGTACGTATTACCAAAAGTTTGGTTGTATTTTTTCAGAATACATGGAGGTGATGTAATCAAAGCCCTCCCATTAATATTGGTGCTCCTTAGGCTGCCTATCCTAAATATTTATGTTGTTTTACTGGCTCTTATATCAAACAGAAGTTCCAGGAATAGTTTGACATAAGACAGCAATTGGAATACTCAGACAGCAGCTGGATGTGGGACAAACTACAGAGGTGCAGCCTTGCCTCACTGGATTGGTACAAAAGGGAAGAACTGATCATTTGGTTGTACAGTGTGTTGCATGCAAAAGGTCCTAAATTCAATCCCTGGCATCAGCAATTGAAGGGTCAATGCCTGACCATTTTCTGCAACATTGAAAGGAACTAGGCTGGTATCTCTTAGACCATGGCTGAAATCCTGGTGCTTAACTACTAGGGTAGCCCACTGAATCAGTAGGGATATGGTGATTCAATTCCTTCAGAAGTTCCATTGATTCAGTGAGCCTACTCTGTATGCAACCTACTACACTAAGCAACAGAATTTCAGCCCATGTGTTAAGCTTCTTGGATTGAGGAGCATTGACAATGGCTCGGACCAACCCAAAGCTTTGCTGATGTTATTCCTAGAGTTTCATGTTCGCACAGAATGAATATCGTTTCTGCTTTTCTATAGTATCCTTTATAAAATGTTCTTAAATCACATTGGAAGTGTCATCAACAAGTGTGGAAAATCTGGTTCAGCCATCCTACCCCCTTAAAATATTTTGATGCTTCACTTCCTATTTTTTAAAATTTCAGTCACTAATCATTTGTGTAAATTAAATCAAGTAAAATCAATGGCAAGATTCATAACTGCTTCCTCAGTAGCAACAACTGGGACATTATTGTTGGCTGGCTGGCTGGCTGCCAGTGCCCTCATTGATGAAGTAATGATTAGGCTTTTATTAGAGATGGCCTCTTAATCTGTTACTGTTAAATATTTGCTATCCTAATAATGTGATAGCCTTGGACCAACCCTTAGTCCTATTATTTTAATATTTTCACCACTGCATTTTAGTTGCACTGGCCAATATTCTGTCCATTCCAGGAGGAACATAATGCACCACCTGCAGAGCTCCTGAAATCTTTAATTTGCATATGCAAAATGGGGCAACAGGATACTGTTATTAAAAGCTGGTATTAAAAGCAAGTGCCTAAAATGAGGCCTAGAAAAGTACCGATGCAATGATTTGTAATAATGACTTCGGTTTTTTGTTTTGGTTTTTTGCTGCTACCGTTTCTCTCCACAGAATTATAATCGTCCTCCTATCATGGCATTGGCTGTCCCAGTGGCAGTGAAATTTCTCCAGAGAGGTAACAAAGAGCTGTGTCGGAACATGTCCAGTTATCTTTCCCTTGCTGCAATTAGCAAAGCAGAGCTACTGGCTGAGCATACGGAAACAATTGTAAAAAGTATCCTGCAAGGTAGGAAACCTTAAAATGGTTCTGTTTTGATTTGCCCATTCAGTCCTGACATTTCCATTGAGGTGATAAAGAATTTTCATTGGGTTTAATCAGTTCCACCCAAAGTAGTTTTTCATACCTTTTAAGACTCCTCGTGAGATGAAACGTACCTTACCTTGGGAATTGATACATTTGTGAGGCTATGGAGCATATCAAAGAAATAAATGATGCACAAACCTATGCATACAATTTGAAAAATGCATAGCTAAAACACATGCATTTCAAAAAAATTATAATAATACAACTAGTGTGGAGGAGAGGCTTCCAAAATAAATGAGTAAAATGTGTAAATAATGCACACAATGCAGAAAAATGTGCAAATGAAACACATTTCAGTACAGAAATTGGGAAATTCTTGAGAGACTCAGACAAATTCAATAAAAACTGAGACTGAGAGCAATATACTATTCAAATTAGTAAACATTTAAGGTCAACTTTACTTTCTCCTTCCACTGAACAGCTAAAGACCCAGCTCTTCAGGTGGGCTTTTAACACTCCCGGTTGAGTCCCTGAATACCTTCTTAGAGTCAGATAGTTTTTAATGTTCACTTACTTTTAATTATTCAATTGCATTATAATTAGTATATAATTTGATTCTCTTTTAATGTTAACTTATGTTTTTAACTTTATTCCTTTTACTATAGTGACCCACCTTGTGTCCCCTTATTGAGAGAAAGGCAGCATAGAAATAAAAAATCAATCAAACAATCAATCAGACAAACAAATAACTGTGTAAGTGAATGCCATGGTGTAAAGTGGTCTGGTCATGTTCTGGACTACACAGACTTTCATGACAGATTTTTCACATCCCTAGGTTCAATGCATAAATCAGCACTTACTGAAGTTTATTAGAACCAGGCTGATTTCAGATATTACAGCCAAAGGTCTGAATGTATGACTCATTAAGTTTCACAATCTCTCACAATAGCCTCCTTCACACATTATTCATATCAAGAATGTTTCACACAGTTCATGGGGCTTGGCTCCCATTCCTGACCATGGTCCCTGATCCTGCCTTTGTTGTCCATGATCTTTCTTTGGGGCAGTGATAACACTTCCAGTAAAATAATATGTCAGATGTACATATTGATGGTGCAAAAATGATGGTTTCTGTTTCTCTCTGCCTTCATTTTGCAAATGCCATTTAAGAACAAACACATGAACCAGTATTTTTAACCTGGAAACGAAGATAGCAATGGAAGGACATGTATTTGAAGTTTCTGATTTTTAAAACTGTCAACAAACTTTTCAAAGTATATGTGTAGACATGGTTATGCAAATACACATGTGTTTGTTAGCTTAACAGATATTTCAGTTTCTCTGTGTTTAGTATTCCTTCTACCAAAATTCACTTCCAAATTAGGGCTTGTCTGGAAGTATGTCATTCCTTATCATCATCATCCTGTCATGTATAAGCCAGACAACCACTATGCTAAGAATTTGCCTTCCAATATTCCTCTGAGCTTATATCCCAATAATCCTTACGTACAACCTCTGGTTTTCCATGTCCATTATTCACAGACATTAGAAAGTCTTGTCCTGCCTCAGAGGACTCTGCATCTTCTGCCTTTATGCATGCTTGCAACTGTTTTCTAGAATTCACAGGTAATGCCACCTCTTACCTCCTTTCAATCCCATCTCAGAACGCCATCATCACTGAGCCTTTGTCTAAACTCCATCCTGCAACAAAACTTATAACCAAGCTTTGCAACATGAAAATGAAACAACTGCATATTAATTCCTTGTTACTCCTGCCACAGGCACTGTTCTTATTTTCTTGCCTTTTCATTTATGTACAATTCCTCTTTATGGTAGGAAATGTGACATGCACTTCTCTTATTAAAACCCATGGTCTTATTAGTATGGATAAACTTCAGAATTGATAAAGTGGAACCTACTTGAATCAAGTTGTGTGTGTAATTAAATTACATGCAGGAAATATTTAGCAAGGAATCTAAGCAGTAAATAGAAAAAAAAGCATTATTTATCCAATAACATATGTAGTTGAAGTGTTTTAGGACTTTTAAATTTATTTTGTTTTCTTCCTTTCTTGGCATTTATATCATTGTGGTGGCATTTATATCGTGGTGGCGCTGTGGGCTAAACCGCAGAAGCCTTTATGTGCTGCAGGGTCAGAAGACCAAGCAGTCGTAAGATCGAATCCACATGACGGAGTGAACGCCCGTCACTTGTCCCAGCTCCCGCCAACCTAGCGGTTCGAAAGCATGCAAATGTGAGTAGATTAATAGGGACCACCTTGGTGGGAAGGTAACAGCGTTCCGTGTCTAAGTTGCACTGGCCATGTGACCACAGAAGATTGTCTTCAGACAAAAACACTGGCTCTATGGCTTGGAAATGGGGATGAGCACCGCCCCCTAGAGTCGAACACGACTGGACAAAAAATTGTCAAGGGGAACCTTTACCTTTTACCTTACCAGCAGATGTTGCTCTGGATGTCTATGATGAAACTGCAGCAAATGGTCAGTTCTGGGGTACTGCATGATGCAGTGGGAACTGGGGAATTAGAAATAAGTGGACTTATTTCTTTTTCTTCAAGGAAACGTATAAAGGCATAAAACAGGGAGCATTTGTTGATTGCCTACACACGTAGACACCCACACAAATGCATGGATGCACACGTGTATATACACACACACAGAGGGGGGGGTTATACTGGAAAGCTCAAGAACACTGATAAAACCTGACAATGACAGGAGGGGAAGGTAATTGTTAAAGGTACAGGTATTGATAGTGCTGAATCCTAACAACCTGTTTAGATAAAGAAAATCTCTTTGCCACCTTTCACTCGTATTTCTTTCTGTCAGTCCTATATCAGTTCACTCTGAAAAGAGAATGCGAGCTTGCCTACTAGAGCAGACCACATCTTCCTTCCAGTGTCCTCATCCAGTATATTTTGATGGAACAGCCAAAGGTTGACCACAGGCCTTGATTGCAATTTAGCTATGCGCAATTCTGCTTTCCCTGAATGGGAGATTTCCTTGTGTGAGACTGTTCTACAGACAAACTCAAAGACACAGGTAATCCAAAGCTAAGCTGATTTTCATATCCAAACATCTTGGGGGAAAAAATGACAGGAAATACCACTCTGATAAAAGATCTTTATTTACAGAACAATTTTACAAAAATAATTTCAATAATGTTAGTACAAGATCAATTTACAATATAATACAGCTGTATCCATTTTGCTGGAGGTCACTCGTTTGCTGGGTGGCCATGGGTCAGAGGCGACTCAAGGGCATGTAACAACATCTACTTCAGGAAAGAAAACTGCAGTTATCTTAATGCTAGAATGGCTCCCAGGATAAATAATACCTTGGGCAAGTCTCTAGCTTTATTTTACGTACCAGCAAACAAGGAGCAAATACAACAAATATTAACGCACAACGGTTATATGGTTCATTTGGAAATTCACATTAACGATATAAAATCTAGGAAGACAGCAAAACATTCTTAGCTGAAATCTGACTCCGAATATCCATAAGGGATACCTATTTTCTGTCAATCCAGAAGGATTAAAATCAGACTGAGCAGTCATCATTCCAGTCTTAATTCTCCAGTGTGCTTAATAACACCTTTCAATTCTGACTTTGTTTGCACAGACATTGCTGCATTCATGCTTCAGCTTAGACCTGCATGTTTACAAGAGCAATCGTAAGCGGGGTTTATTTAAAAGCACGTAATACGTAGTTGTTACCGAAAGAAAAAGAAGAAAAAAGCCATTTTAGATTATCCAATGGGAAATGTTTCTTTGTCTTTGTGAATATTGTTCAAGAGAATGCCTCCAAGTGACTTAACAGCTCTATGTTTTGAAAGTGGTTACAGCCACTTGAAAAGAGCTTTTTTCCCCCCAACCCTTTCTCAAAGTTGCCTGTCCACTTCACAGCCTGTGGCATCACCCTTCTTATTTATGGACTCCGATCAGCCTGGAATTTAGAATGAGATTGCTGTGGCTAAAGCCGTCAGTCACCCAGAGGCTTTCTGCCACGTGGTACCTCATGCACACGTTCCTGCGTAAGCCAGAGCTAAGTGCCACATTAGGCAATTTTCTTAACACCACAGCTTTTCTGTTAAGACTTCATTATGAAAATTGTATGATATGGCCAGCTCTAGAAAACACTCAGGCTTGCTAGCTTGATTGAGTTTGCAAAAAGTCTGAAGATTGATTCAGTGCCCAAAAATGTATTGAGCACCTCCATGTGGCAGAACCTCGGTAACCCCCCACCCAACTACATTGCCACGGCTATTACATGACTCTTCTCCAGTTTGTCTTGTTATCTCTTTGTCACTGAGAACTCTGTTCCAAATATTAAAGCCAGTTATTTTTCCAGAAAAAGCTAAAGATTCATTGAAACCACCTCCAACACAGCAGCCATTCTTTTCTTGGCCAACCTGCAATATTCCACCATCTGGAATGGTGTAGCCCTCAGCTATTTCTGAAGTAGTTTGCACAACTTTCCCATTTATCCACAAAGATATACTTCCATTAACTGTGCTCCAGGTACCACAAAGGTGAGTCCACTCTCCAGTAGAGATGACACCTGAGGCAGTTACCTTGTTGAGATCACTGCCGACGGCAAGAACAGCAGAATCGTAGCTCAGATACAGCTGGATCTCATAAGGGTTTCTCTTTGTTCCATATGAAAACACAATAGTTTTGTCCAGCATTTCAGTTACTTTCACCCAGGTACAGATAGTAAAAGAAGACAGAACCATTTCAGAAGCTGGATGAACACTCACAAAGATCTTTTTGGAACGCATTGGAAATAAGAGGGCTGTCTCACAACCTGCAAAAATAATAGAATTGCATTATTTATCAATCAGTAAAATTGTATGCAAGGCTTATGTACAGCTGAGCTAATTATAACATAAAATAATTTGTTTCAGTGCTTGTAAGCAGCTCTCTTTTATTGGGTTAGACTCCTTACTGCTCATTAATCAAGCATTATCTACTCTTACTAGTAGCGGCTCTCTTCCAGTTACTCTCTTCACTAGTTATTTTATTTTACAAGCGAACAGACCTAAAACTGAATATACTAGGGACCGGAGACCTTCCTCATTCCAAACATGTACTCTACCACTTAGTTATGTCCCTTTCTACAACCAAACGAAAATCATGGACAACCTGCGGAGCAAATAATGGATCTGGTGTTCAGCCACACAGTGTTGAGAGTTGGAGAACAAGCATTCAGATAATTGAAACTCTACTGCATGTATGTCTGCCTAAGGGCACAGTTAGATGGGGGAATTTGGAACAACCTGGATCACATTTAAAGGGCTCTTATCTTTGGTGCTATCTATTTTATCTTGCATATTTCTTCTCCTGTGAGAAGAATTCAGAGAGCACTTCAAATTACTCCAATTTCACCCCCCTTTCAATTAGTGATACCTCTCCCCACCCATTTTCCAGCCGTTTGTCATGACTGTCATTCCATGGGCAGCAGCAACTTTCATTTTTTTCATTGAATTTAGTAAGTGGCATAGTGCTGTAGCAATACATCACCTGGCATGGATGCTTCCTTATATCTGAAATAGTGATGTGTCACTTAGATTTTTTTAAAAAAATATGGAAAGAGGAAAATAAAGGAGAGAGTTTCTCCACCATCCATATTGTCACAATCCGCTGCATACGTCATATAGTTGTAACCAAAGAGAATGCCACCCACAGCACTATTTGGGAGCAAATTAATCAACCATACAAACTGCAGAATAGATAATCAGGAGCACTCCCAATCTCACCAAATAAACTGCAGCCCTGGCACTGTATCAGAAAGGAGTGGAACAGCTCACAAAAGGGGCAGGATAGATTGATCTTACTTGAAACATGTGTGGTTTCAAAGACAGTGGACTGTACTTGTATTATGTACTGTACTAGTTCCTTCTGCCTTTCAGTGACCTCACTAAGGTATTTGAGATTTGTGTAATAGTGAAGTGCTTCTTCTGTGCAACCCTCAGATCTGTGGTGCCCAGCTGAATGAAGACATGTATGGGGTCAAAAGTTCATTTCTGTGTGTGATTCTTTCAGTAGCCTAGCCTTTAGACTGTGTATACTGGTCCCTCGCTTAACAACGATAATCCGTTCCAGAAAAATCGCCGTTAAGCGAAAACATCATAAAACGAAATTAAAAACCCAATTGAAGCGCATTGAAACCCGTTCAATGCATTCCAAAGGGGTAAAAACCCATCCTCCAGCGAAGATCCTCCATACAGCGGCCATTTTCGCTGCCTGTATAGCGAGGAATCCGTCCCTAAACACAGCGGGGAGCCATTTTAAGCACCTGGTGGCCATTTTGAAACCGCCAATCAGCTGCTAGAAAAAGCAGGGAACCGATCATCACAAAGCGAAAAAACCCTATTTAGATCGCAAAAAGACAGTCGTACAGTGATTTTGTCGTAATGCGGGGCAATCATTAAGCGAGGCACCACTGTACAAGGATCATGCAGCTCCGTCCCTTTATTTTCCCCCATTGGACTGTGATTGCATTATAGCGTCAGCATATTATTACAAGGCTTGTTCTTGATAATATTTATTGTTTATGCTTTTCTCCTTGGGTGTATTGTACTGGAGAAAACAGTAACATTTCCATTACAATGAGAAAGGTTGACTAACGTTCACATTTGTGCTTTGTAGCATTCTAATTTTTCTATAGCTTGTAAAAGTAGCTGGCTATGATTTCATAAACGACAAAGCCAGGATCCAGTAGGTACAAGCACTGATGGAAGACGCTCCATCTGGACCAAGGAGGAAGAAATTATCTTCTCTTCCATATAGGTTCCATACAGTCCTCTGAAGGACTGGAAAACTCTCCAGAACATATTTTCAGATGGTGTAGATTTGTTTGGGGCGGGGGGAGGAGACAAAGAGAATGTTCTGTTTCAGACGCCCCTGAGTTTACTAATGGAACGTCTTCCAGATGGATCTGGATCTAAGAGACTAAACAAGGCAAAGCAAACAGGGAAAAAAGCTTTCCGGAATGAAGCTACTCTCTCCCCAAATGACAAATTGATTTTTGGCAGTTGCAGAAGCAGACAGAGTTGTTCTTGGTGGTGGTGGTTTTTAACCAGTATAGCTATTTGCCATGATGATAGAGGGATTCCAGGAGTTGTAACTTGAAAAAAAGGGGAAATTGGAAATGCTCTGTAATAACTGCAAGCGAAATGAAGACTGAGAATTGGGGACAGGCAAGGAGGACAGGGCTTATTAACCCTTTTCAGGCATTATGCCTAAATCTATGGAGAGGGTTGAAAAGATGGTGAAGAAGACATGGACAGGCAGATGAGCCACATCCCCACATCCCTTCCCCACTAAGAAGCCATTCAGAGTTTTGGGTGATGAATGCAAAGGCCAGAAACCAAGCCTGTAAGCCCATTTGGCTGAAAACAGTTACGGAGCTGAGACTAGGAGACTTCCCTTATGAAGGTTTCTATTGAGTCCACCAAACGGGGCTACCTTTGAAGATGGTTCAGAAACCTCAGCTGGTTCAAAATGCAGCAGTCCAACTGCTGACTGAGACAAGTAATAGTAATAAAACCCCTACTTAACAAGTGCACTCACTGATCACTAGTCTGTTTCCGGGCCCAATGCAAAGTTCTGGTCATTACCTATAAAGCAAAGTGTGAGCTTCAGTCCAGGCTACCTGAAGGACCCGTATGATCATCAGATCATCAGAGAAGCCCTCCTCTCGGTCTCATTGCCAGTGCAGGCATGGTTGAACGGGACACAAGAAAGCTCTTTTTCTGGGGCTGCGCCCAGATTATGGGAGGTTAGCTTGGCCCCTTCCCTTTTATCCTTCCACTGAAAGTTGAAGACCCACCTCTTCAGGCAGGCTTTTAGCAATCATAAGTTGTTAAAAGCATTAACAGTCATGAATGCTGTTTTTAGTAGAGTGTTTGAAGTTTTTAATTTTTAAAAATCATTCAATATATTTTAATTACTATCATAGTTTAATTGCTTTTAAATGCAGAATTTATTGTGGTTTTAATTCTACTTTTTAAACACTGTGAACCACCTTTAGGCCCCTTATCAGGAGAAAGGTAGCCTATAAATAAGACAAATAAACAAATAATGACGGGAGTTCTATTGGCACATTCAGCTGAGGTTATAGGATCTGTTTTAGACCTTCACACTAATGGGAAGTTCTGAATAACGTCTGAGGAAGGAAAACTACATGGAGTGGATTTTTTAATGGATCTCTCATAGCCATCATTTTTTTGTCCTCTGCACATCTTCAGGTATAACACCCATATAAGGCTCGTGTTAGGTAACTGGTGGGAGTTCTATTGGCACATTCAGCTGAGGTTATAGGATCTGTTTTAGACCTTCACACTAATGGGAAGTTCTGAATAACGTCTGAGGAAGGAAAACTACATGGAGTGGATTTTTTAATGGATCTCTCATAGCCATCATTTTTTTGTCCTCTGCACATCTTCAGGTATAACACCCATATAAGGCTCGTGTTAGGTAACTATTGAATGAAGTGAATGGAGATTGCCTAGATTTAAAGAATGAAATTGAATCTTGAAATAATTGATGTCCTAACTAGATATTTTATATCTGCCTTTATTGAACCAGTTATATGCTTTGAGATCTGGGCATGTTTTAAAACATTTTGACCACTAAGAAGTAGGACATCAGGTCACAATGCTGCAGAGAGAGCTCTTCAGAGAGCAAAAAGCTTTGTTGTAAGGACATGACTTTTTAATTAGCAGGATTTTTAACTTTATTATCAAGAGGTAAACAAAATTAGCTCTAGCTTCATGAGATAACAGGAAGAGTGTGATCAGAGAACCTCTTAAGAGTCGACTTGGCAAAGATCCAGAATATGTGAGAAATGAAAACCAGTTGCTGAAAATTCTTTCAGAAAATATTTCCAGAAGGATTTATCAGGCATTTCAGCAATCTATTCTTCTTAATCAAATTCTGATTTCCTTCCCCCCCCCCATCAAAACATATGGGACCAAACTCTGTCCTTAGTTAGTCTGTTATAAATTAAGAACAGGTCCTATGAAATCAGTGCTGCTATTCTAGATTTAACATTGAAGTCATAGGTTGCTGGGAGTACTGCGTAGGGATGCAGACAAAATTGCAGCTGAACTTAAGCATTTTTGTGTTCCATTAAATTCTGTGGGTTTGCTTCTAGGTCCAAACTGTAAGTTACATCATTCATCTGTGGCTGATGCTGAAAGCATCTATTTATTCCTGATCTCTATCCTCCAGCCTGGAGTAATGTGAAGCATGTGTGACCATTACAATGGGAATGTCTCCACCTCTCAAGCAACAGCCAATAGAAATGAGTGGGAGTTGGAAAACGTTCAGTGATGACTGGTCACCATAGATATTATACAGTACATTACTAAATGTTACAAACAGGCAAGGAGGACATGACACAGGGATGCTGCTTAAAACTGCAAGCATTCAATAACCATAGGTTTAGAAGAGTTAAAAGTGCTTACCTTTCCCTAAATGGTACCATCATCATCACCATCACTGTACATATTATACAGTTGAAATAAGAAACTATTTCATCTTTATCTCATGAGTAGCTATTACAATTACAACAAAGCAAAGTACTGATTTGAAGAATAAATTTTTAGTCACAAAGCATGTTAATCAAGAAAAAATGAGTTGTTAATCATAATTTCTTACCACATCCTTTTAAAGAATTAAAGGGCCTTGAGTAGTTTCTCAAGAACTGCTGAAGAGCTTTCCACATGGCAGTATAACATTCATATTTAAGGTTTTAACAACCGTGTTTTAATTTGGAGTTGTAGTTCAAGAATTAATGTATATGGAATGGCATCATTTATTTTATAGGGCATTTTCCCATCATATGCTCATCTAAGAGTGATATAAATTCATATCCTACATTTAACGGAATACACACACATGCAGAAACCTTTATTGGGAATTCATATCCTACATTTAACGGAATATGTATCCTGAACTGCCTACATTAGAAATGAGCAGGGGGAGGATTTCTATGACATGTCATTTAATATGTATCCTGAACTGCCTACAGTAGAAATGAGTAGGGGGAGAATTTCTATATGTCATTTTCCCCCCTGCAGGCTCTGTTTGAGCTTATGGGTGGGTTTGAACATATTTATGCATAATCTGGTGAGAAAAGCTAGATTGCTCATAAACATGCTTGAACTTGCTTATGGGTTTAACTGTAAGTTGCAGAGAAAATGTGAAATGTCATAGAAATGCCCCCTTAGAAATGAGTACAGAAAGAGAAATTTTAGAATGCTTAGTGAGACTGGGCTTTCCTCTCTCTTTCCAGAAACATTTGAAAATAATTTGGATGTTGTGTATCATTTTTTTCCAAAACTTCTCAGTGGTCAAAATGTGTGGGAATCTCTTTTTCCCATAGCTGTTTCCTATCACTGTGTACGCAAGGAGTGTCTGTACAGTGAGATTGTACCTGTTTGGATGAATTAATGCATAAAACATGTCAGGGTGATTCAGCCATGTGCTTATGTCTCATTCCTACTGCATTCATATTTCTAAATAATTAGTACAGTACCTTTAATACTTTAGTTGAATGTTTCAATTTTACAGGCAATGGAGGCTTTGGAGGAAAGAAGCTGGCAGTGCCAACTGAGATCTCCTAGCAGTAACATCCTTTCTTGGCACAGAGTTTAAATAGTGTCCTTTTAATTATGTAAGCCACTTTGAGTCCTTTTAAGGAGGGTAAAGATATTTTAAACAAATGAAGAAATAAACAAATATAATGGAAGCCCTTGAATTGTGGCAAAAGGTCCTTTCTGTGGCTACTTCTTATAAGAAAGATTTTGCTGTTCTTTCCATCTTATGCTAACATTGCTACCCTGTTTCCCTGAAAATAAGACCTAACCTGAAAATAAGCCCTAGTATGATTTTTCAGGATGCTCATAATATAAGCCCTACCCCCAAAATAAGCCCCAGTTAAGTGAAACCCCACTCTCCACCATTTTGCAACAACCAGAAAAAGATGACATGACTGTAAAATAAGACATCCCCTGAAAATAAGCCCTTTGGAGCAAAAATTAATATAAGACCCTGTCTTATTTTCGGGGAAACCCAGTAGTATCTTGTTGTTTTTATTGTTGAACTTTAATGGAATGTTTCCTGGTTTACTTCAGCAAGGTATCACATATAGCTGCCCTAAATACTCTTAGTTGAGTTGTAAATTGGAGAGAGGTCATAAATTTGAAAGTGGTTTTATGTTCGTTTATTAATCCCTACATGAATCATAACCTACATATGCTAGTGGTTGGATTCTAAAGTATGTGAATGGTCAGGCGTTTCAAAGGAAAGTTGGAGGGGAACCTCTGTGATGTATGCTATTTGGTTGTGCTACATGGGGTGAAAGCTATTCCACCTTCCTGAGCCCCTGTGGAGAATCTGTTTATGCCCTGAAGCATGAGAACTGATGAATAGACTGTTGACATAATCAGTGAGCTCACAGGGTCAACTTTTGTTCACAATTATTCCTCTGAGGAATGCTGTAAAGGAGGTTGCAGGTATGTAACTGGGAAAGGAAAGGAAAGGGCTGAAAATAAAACAGAATGCAGTCATCTGTGATTTATTGTTGTTATTATTGATGCAAAGAAAATAAAAGGATGGAAGTTAATAGCTGTGAGGTGGTAAACATGAACACATCGGGGCCTTGCAAATGTGTTTCAGTGTGTTTGTAGGCTAACCTGGGGGCCTATTTTTTTTTAACTTTGAAAAACTCCCTTTTTGCTATTCTGGAATAACAGCTTCCAGAATTCCCATTTGCCATTGTGGGAGTTGTAGTCTACACAGATAATTGTTAACCTCTCATCCAAACATGGATACTGAATTGTGGTGCTTTTAGCACTATCCCTCAGAATTCTAGCTATTTTTTCTTTAGGCTAAACAAATAGCTACAGAGAGCTTGTTGTAAGAAGCCCCAGTTCCTTAAGAGTTAAAAGCAGTGTGATCCTATGAGCTGTTCTGATCTCCTATAGTTTGCAAATTAGTATGCTTTATCTTATGATTGGTCATCAAGTCTCAAACAGTAGCCTAATATGCATTCTTGTTGCTGAGGCACTATGCTGGCTGAGAATCATATGACTAAACACTAATATGTTTTCTTCTAATGTGTGTAAGCATCCTTTAGTCTCGAGAGACTATGGTAACGTGCTCTGAATAGAGGTCTTGGAACAATGTCTAGTGTGGCTGAGGAGGCCAATTTGAGAGTGATAATCCCTTCCACATTGAAGACAAATACAATCTGTCCCATGTCCAGCTCCCTGATTTATTCTTCTAAGGATGATGTGTTAAATATAATATCACATAGGATCCTTTGTTGCCATTGTGCTACTGCACGTAGTTTTTTATGTTGTGTATCTATGTCCTTTGGCCATTATACTATACAAACTGGACATTTGTTGATGGCTGCACCTCCCACAGTATACAGTCTTTCAGAATGCACAGCAGTTCTTCCCTTATAGAATCAGGGCATTGTGTGAGGTTATTTTGACAGAGAGCCGTTTGGGAAATGAGTTAGTAACATTTGTCAAGAGAGATTAACTTACCAGCTGGCAATAAACGCTGTGTGGTCTTTTTTTGGGATTCCTTCAGTTCAGCTTTTGTTTCCTGCAATTCTTGCCACAGTGACTTCAAAATGAAATCATCCCCATTTGCCATGGAACCAACTCTGTCTTTTTCTAAGATACTTCTCTGCTGAGCATCTACTTCAGCGGTCCTCTGCCAGGCATGTTCCAGGTGACTGAGTCTGCTGGAGAGGTTTTGGCTGAGCTGCAGAATCTCTCTCAGGATTTTTTCTCCTTTTGATTCATGGAGTGTTCCCAAAAGGTCTTCAGATTCTCCCCTGCTCTTTGCCAACATCTGGTCCACTTGGCTGGAGAACCGGGAGACGGCTTTCTCAATGTATGAGCTGCACATGCCAGCAAAGTTTTCTACAAACTGGAGTATTTCCCCTCTCAGCGTCTGCAGCTCCACCTTAAGGATTTCATCAAGGGACTGGAGCAGCATGTTTTCTTTCATCTGAGAGTTCTCAAGCATAATGAAGAGCTTGTCCCATTCTGTGTGTTCCCTCTGACAATCGCATGAAATAGCTAGAGTAGAATAAATAGCAGGCTGTTATAATACATGTTTGTGCATTAATATTTTTCCCTAAGCAAAGGTGTTGCTTAAAGAATGCATACTTCCTGATTGCATGTTCCAAAACTACTACTGCTTTCTTTTCTTGGGAAATAACATTTGTTTAAAGACTTCATAAGGTCTTATAGCCAGCATTATAAAAGTCCTCTGAAGAAAAGTGCTGAAATAACTATTTTTCCCCTCCTTTTTCCTGTACTAAATTTCCTTTTAAACTTAATTCCAATTCTGTGTCTCCTGGCTAGAGCTTTTACAGCAGCAAAACAGTAACAACTATGAATCTTCTTTCTTCTCATGCTATGGCTTCTTGTTAAAGGCTAGACAAAATGGGGAAAATAACTACAGTACTTACTTTCTTCTGTTGCAGGAATCACACTTTCTACTTCATTGTCAAAATTCAGGAAAAATAGATCATCATCATACTCATAGTGGTTCTGAGGAAATGCAGGGGACCAGAAAGCAAAGAACAGGATCACAAAGGAAAGCATTTTTATGTGATTCCCCAGATGCTTCTTTGAAAGTCTCTGCGTCTTCCTGAATGAAGGGTCTCTCTAATTATGAGAGTCTAGTAAGAGCAGTGATGATTCTAAGGGAGGGAGTTGCAGAAAGCCCTTAAATAATACAGTCTCTCTCTCTCTCTCTTTCTCTCTCTCTCCCTCAGTATGTGAATGAATGAGTAATGCTAGTGCTGTAACAGGACTGCTTCTGGTTATTATTAATGTTTTTTTTTTGTTTTTTGTTTGCATAGGAGTTGTGGGGAGGGAGGAAGGTTGCACAATTCTGACCCTTAAAAGTTTGAAGTCTGTTTAGATTAGTAAGCAGTTTAAGGTTGAGAAACAATAGAAAAACTCCTCTTGCAAATATGCAAAGCTCCTTGGAGGCTAGACTTTAAAGAGAGAAAGCGATTGAGAGAGAGAGAGAGAAAGAGAGAGGGACAGAATTACTCATGAGCTCTTCTGGAGGGAAAAAAATGGCAATAAATAGTAAATTGGGAATTTGCTGAATTAAGAAAAGACAGAAATTCTAAGAGATGTTTTTGGAATCATTTTAGAGTACATTCCAGACTCTAGAACTTTTATGAATGTGTAGTTTCCCAAACTAAATGTTCTAGGATTTCAAAGTGTAATGAGGTCTACATCTTAATGTATTGGTATTAGTTATTAGTAATTAAGAGCAATATATATACAGGCTGCAATGGACCCCAGGATGACTTTTCCTTGGCACTGAATGGCAGCTATTCACTTGTATAAGAGAAAATATATAAATAGTTAGGCAGAGTCTCATCCCACTAAGCCTGCTAAGTAGGGACATAGTAGGGGCATAGGAGAATTAGGAAGGATTGGATTGGAACTAGGAAGGATTGCTGCTTACATAGTGCCTGATGCCAGGCACATTCTCCTCCGCCCACCCCACCCCCTGCACGTCCTGACCTCAGTTATCCAGGATATCTACTCAAGAAATCCTGCACCCATTCTATCTTGATCAGAAGAGTACCTGCAGAGGGCTTGGTTAGGGTTGCCAGACGTCCGGCAAAACAAGGACATGTCCTCCTTTTTAGCCTAATGTCCTCCATCTGGCAGGCAAACATAAAAACCTTTAAAATGTCAGGCATTTGTATATTTTATGTCATAATTTTGGATGGAAGGGAGAGAGGTGGAAGGACCCCCCTGTCTTTCCCTGCCCCCACCTGCCTGCCCTGCCTTTACCTGCCACTGGTGGAGCACAACCCCCTCCCGTCCCTCCATGGCAATGGCTGCTTGGCGATCTGCCATGCCCGCCCAGCCCACATGGAGTCCAGAAAGGCGGCATGAGTGGAGTGCTGCCTGCCGGGCCAGACAGGAGCAAGCAGCACCTGAGCGCATTGATGGGAAGGCGAGCATCCAGACTGTGTGTGTTCAAAGTCTCTTTCAGAGACTCCAACTCCCACACTCCCCAGCCTTGAACTTATGACCCGCGGGGGAGGGGAGGCTGACTTGTTCAGCTTTGCCTGGTACTGTTTTCCTCCTGCCTGTGCCAGAGCCTTGTTTGGGCGTCCACATTAGCAAGGTTGCCTCTGAGCCTGTGCAGAGTGCGAGTGGCCGGAGGATCCCGCAGCCGGATGGGGGTGGGTTCGGGTTTATTTGCTTTGCTCCCAATCGGGAGTACAATTTGAAGAATATTACCTGTGAACAGTTTTATGCATATGTGATTGCTAATGAAGATCTTCTGTGAAAAGTTGACTCCTCTGAGAAATATGTAGTGAAATTAATAAAGATTATAAGGTAATAATTATACAATTGGCTGTTTTAATAATGTTTTCTGGTATTTTTAAAAAAGCCTTGATTGAATTTATTTTTATTTTTTAACACGACTGTTTCTTGGTCAATTCACTAGGAGACATTTATTGGCAGCTATTTTAATAAAATTTCATTGATTGCGGGTTTAATCCAGAATGATTCAAATGAAACATTCAGTACATCCTCCTCTGTGCTCTTTTTTGTCTTTCTGTATACAGTGGTGCCTCACATAACGAGCGCACTGTTTAACAACGAATTCGCATAGCAATCTATTTTTTTTAGATCACTAACGCGACCGCATTGCGATGGTTAGATAGGGAGAAAATCGCATGGCGATGATCGGTAAGCGTTTCGCTTACCGATCTTCGCTTTGCGATGTTCCTAGAACAGCTGATTGGTGGTTCCAAAATGGCCGCCGGACACCCAAAATGGCTGTTGCAAGTGTTTTTGCACCCTGCCCTCACTTACTGAGGGCGCGAAAATGGCGGCGCTATGGAGGAACTTCGCTCAATGGTGAGTTTGGGCCGCATAGGAACGCATTAAACCAAGTTTAATGCGTTCCTATGGGTTTTTTCGATCAGTTTAGCAATGTTTCATCATAGCGATGATTAATCCGGAATGGATTAACATCGCTAGGCGGGGCACCACTGTACTCCTTTTGGTACCCATGTATCTGGCAACCCTAGGCTTGGTAGGCCTTATCTTTTTGCTACATTTTGCTCCCTTTCCAGCGCATGTGATTGCTGAAAACAAATCATCATCTGATCATCATCTTTAGAAGTGAAACAGCCTCTCCCTGCAGCAGAGCAAACTGCAAGCTAAACAACGGTGTAGTCAGCCATTTAGGTATTAATATGATTCCTACATATAATTGTGCTGTGTATTTTAATAGATCTTTTCTCGCACACAAATCAAGTCATTCCAAACAGAGCCCTAATTTCTAAACTATGGAGACCTTCAATGCAAAGACTCATTTGGTGGCCATAGAACTGAGGCTTAGTGAGACCCCAAAGTCTCCTTCCTCCTCCTAATTATGTGTAATGAGGAACATGATACCATGTTAGTATTCTGCAAATTCTTCTATTTCTGCAGCTTATAAAATAGAAGGAAATGTGTAGCTTCGCAATGTCATATTACATGGTTACTAAATATAGCTGGAAAAGAGAGAGAGAGACATGGTGCAGCTGTTTATTGGTAGTGGCTGCATGACGCCTGTTTTGTCTAGCTTTCACCCAACTGTGAGTGCTTATGATTTGATCAGCCTGACCCATGGTAGCGCTGGGCCAAAATACTGCTCTTATGTAGAATTTTGTTTTGATGATTTTGAAAAGGAGGATTTTTTCAGAGACAGATTTCCCATCTTTTCTTCTTGTTTGTTTGTTATATTTATCACCTTTCTTCCAGACTCTCTTCTCCCTCACTTTAGCCTCACAACAGCCCTATGAAGTAGGCTGGGCTCATTTGCGACCCGCCGGATGATAGTTTGCAGCCCCCACCTTGCCTGCCCCCCTTGAAGCACCCACATGTCCTCTGATGTCAAGAGTCAAAAAAAGCCTCACCTCGCTCGTCACCTCTCTCCCAAGACAGCGCCTCTTGCACCCTCCATCCAAAACTGCAGCCTGCCAGCCAGCCTGCCTGACTGCGGGCTGGCAGGCTGAAGTTCCGGATGGAGGTGCAAGAGGTGCTGTCTTGGGGGAGAGACAGTGAGTGAGGTGCGCTGCCAGACCTTTTTCCCAAGCGCCTGAGCTGCCGCAGAGTGATGCCCTTAGAGCTCACTCCCAGTCTGCCCTCGAAGAGCGCCTCCAACAGTGCCGCCAACAGCATCTGCTGCCGCCACCTCTTTCAGGGAAGCGGCTCTCTGGATTTTTTTCTTTCTTGGCACCCCCAGCACCAGCCCGGCCAGTGGCTGCTTCAGCACCCAGTGGTGCTTCCTCCTCCTCCTCTTCATTCTGCTTCAGCTGCCTCGGCTCACCTCACAAAGTTTGCTCCTCTGACATGGTGGGGGTAGCTGGTGCTGCTTAGTGCGCCTTTTTTGAGGGGGGCTCAGAGGAAGGATGCCGGACCTCCGTGTGTGGGGGGGGTTGTGCGTGTGTGTGTGCACCTGTGGGGGGCCACCCCATTCTGTTTAATTTTGCAGGTACGATGGGGGCTTTTCTCCTTTGGCAAGGCGATTCTGTGAGGGATTTTTGTAAATTATATGTCGTGCCCTCCCCGCCCCGGCTAGGCAGTCGCCGGCGCTCCCTCCCTTCTCTGCTTCTTCATCCTGGTGGTGGTGGTGGTAGTGAAGAAGGAGCTGGAGGGGATCATGGCCGGCGACGAGGGCTCGTGCACCGCTCCTCCTTCTCAGAGCCCCAGCTGGGCTAAGGAAACTCCTGGGCAGCTTCCTCGGGCTCTTGCTCCGCTTGGCAGAAAATCTGATG